CCGCAGCTGCTGTCTATTAGGGTTCCTGAAAAAAAAAAAAACACTCTTCAAAGAGACCAACTTGACTTTAGGAAACTATTTTACCTAAATCAAATTAGGAAGAGGGACAACAGAACAATTTGGCCCATTAGTCTCCCAGCAGCTCGAGACGATGATTCTTCAGCGCTGACTTGTTACTGGCCGCGCTCACCATGAAGCCTGGCCCTGTGACCTCTCTGAAACCCATCTGACAAAGTCCTGCCCCGGACTCCAGCGTCTCCCTGCCGTCAAAACAGGCTGCTAGGAATAGCTGGAAGGCAGTTTGAGTCTGTTAGCCAAGACCCCGGCGTTTCCGCCCCCTGCAGGACGAGCTGCCCGACGCGGGTGTGGAAAAGCAAGGCGGCCCCTCGGGCCGGCGTCCTGAACGGCCCGCCCACAGCGCCGAGCGCCGGGGCGGCTGTGGGACCGGTCCCAGCGCAGGACCGCAGCGGCGTGAGCAGCAGGGGCTCCCCAGGGGGCCGGGTCCGGGGGAGGCCGGCGGAGACTGGGGTCAGGGAGCGGAGCGTTTCGGCAGGGGCAGAGGGCTGTTCCTCCCCAGCTCCCTGCAGGCCGGGACTCGGGCCCAGCCCACCTCCTGCTCCCGGCCCTGGAGGAACTGGGCACGGCTGCCCCTACCTGCTGGGCGCAGGCTACAGTCTGCGGCACACAGGTCATTCATGCGGGCTCCCAGCCGCGGGCGGGGCTCGGAGACCCGGGAGAGCCGATCTGGCCTCCTGGGACGGAGTGGGAAGGCCGGAAGAGCTCCTGCAGGCCGGGACCGGAGGAGGAAGTGCAGTCACGCAGCAGCAGTGCGATCGGTCAGCTCACGTCCTCCGTGTCGGCCTGCGGAGACTCAGCCCCAGCGCATCTTCACGTGCATGCTGCTGCATTTAAAACAAAAGGAGGAAAGGCTGCAGCGCAGAGCGAGTGAGATATGGTGGCGATTAACCCCCGGCCTGCAGCACCAGGCCCTGCTGGGAAAGTGCTGAAACAGTCTGGGTTGATACCAGCTGGAGCCAATAGCCCTGCCCTGTAGTTCACCTACCCTGAGCGTCTCTTAGTTGATCTTCAAGTACCCAGGTTTACTTATAAAAACATCCACTGCTTTCCCTAGAAGTCATAAATCTGCCATTTATTTATTTATTTATTCATTTGTTCCCAGTTCCTAGCTGCTAAGCACACGCAAGCCTCTTAATTGCCTTCTCGCGCTCTGCGGCTGCTGTTTATCGGCGAGATGCAGCGCGCAGCTCCGCTGATTTTCCCTAAAAAGATTAATCCGTCCATTACTGATCTACTGTATCTGTTTTAATTACTTTTTGGAGCGCCGCTGTCTCGGGCGGATCCGGGCGCCCTGGGGTGTCGAGAAATAAGCGCTCGGTGCGCCGCGCCCCGCCGCAGCGAGCTCAGATCGGGGCATCGATAATTCAAGGCGACAGCCAAATTATCGTTCGGGTTTCTGCTTCAATCCCAGCCGTGCAAATCCCCTCCTCCCCGCAATTTACGCATAAATCCCACCCTTGGCGGCAGAGGTAATGGAGTCCCGAGGAAAATCACATTCCGGGGGTATTTTCCTTCACCGGCTCTCCAACAACCTTTCAACAAGCTGAACACTCAGATACACATACGGTAGGTTTACACTGGACTAAATGGTGTTCCAGAACACGAGAGAACTGTGTTCCAGATCCCACCGTCCTTCTGCGTCTCTCTCAATGTCTTAATAAGCGCCGAAGATGTATTGTGCCGTTTAGTGGGGGAACGGAACTCAACTCGCAGACTTCAGGAAGATATAAAAGATATAAAAAAACTGTAATGATTTTCCTGTTACTGTCGCTGCCGAGTATTTGACTTCTAAGATCAACGATAAATGTTTCTATTGTATTATTATTATTATTATTATTATTATTATTATTATTATTATTATTGACTAAACAAGACTTAGAAAGGGCGTTGTTCTCCAAGATAGCACGTTTCTGTTCCACGCCAGCACGCCCGACTTGTTTCCGTGGGAAGACTTGGCCAATTGTACGAAACACGAGGAGACCTGAAACTTCGAAAGGATCGTTAAAAATCCCACGGCGTTTCTCGAAAGGAGTAGGGGTGTAACCCCGGCGTCCTGGCCAAATTTCCCATTGGCCTTTACCCATCATGGCCTCCTGATAACCCCCATTTCTGAACTGGCTCCATCACCCTGCTCTCCTCCCCACTGAGAGCTGGTGTGTGGGGAGCGGACTGGCGCATCATCCAGGTGGGGCTGCACACTGCTGGTGGTGGAGGGGATCCCCAGTACCTGTAAAGCGTTTTGAGTGGAGTGTCCAGAAAAGCGCTATATAAGTGTAAGAAATTAATATTATTATTATTATTATTAAAGCGCAGATTTCTCGTTTTCAGAAAAAAACTGGCGATGAATGAAACCTGGTTCTGGGTGGGCTCGTCTGCTCTGCAGTACATATGTATAGTAGTATTTACATAGAGTGCACATAACAGTAATTTATAAAGAACGTTATCATCATTTTAATTTATATTATGTCAAAATTATTTTATAATTCGTACTAAATGATAAATTAATCATGAAGGTGGGGGTTTATCATTCACAAACGGTTGAGACTCCTTGAGAAAACGGGTCACACGTCCCAGTTATTGGACCAGCCGGACCTGCTCACCGTCTTCAATACCGCCTGAGCCCGGGGGCGACACTCCGCTTCAGACTGCACGCGTGGGTTCGAATCCCATCCTCGTCGACTTATGGTTTGTCAAACGTGATTTTTTCAAAGTGGGTGTGGCTGTCAAAGACCGCGCTGAAAAGAAAAAAAGAACAGAAAAATATTTGCCTGTCCCCCGAACAGACCCCTGGTCGTATATGGAAGAGCATATGGCAGACCCCAAATCCCTCTTCACACAAGAACAGGCGCAACTAGCTTCCGCCTCTCCTGTCACGAGTGAAGGATTCACTGACGACAACCTGCGGGGCTGTGTTGTGTACAGCCCGGGCGTGGCTGCTAGTTCGTGACAGATCACGGGATTTACACCCCATAAATCCGTTTCTGTAACGAAAGGATACGCGTTAGATAACGTTGCCTGGCGTTGAAGGGATATGAGGCGGCGATGAACTGATCTCAGTCTAGAATCCTGAAGAAGGCTCCACGGCCGAAACGTTGTGTTTTCTTTCTCCTTTTCAGCAGGGAATGAACCTGTTACTTGTTCCTTAGTATCCTTAACGTTTGCTGCTGCGGCTCCTGCTGCTGTTCGTAGTTTTGTTATCTTTGCAATAAGTGTTTCCAGAGGCATTTGGCTTTGATTTCCGCTCAGCAAGGCTCCAGCTACAGTATGTTCCCTAAAAGGGGTCCTCCGCCTTTTCGTGTCTGAAGTCTGTAAATGACACGGAGCCCCGCTTCAGATCACCGGGAAAGCGATAAGGCGCACAGCACCCGGGCCTCGGACCCCGCGGAGTCCCGTTACTTTCCAGCCGCCCCGCGCCTCGGCCCCTGGTGTTCCTGCCTGGCTGAAGGTCCGGCTCACCGGTGCAAAAACAAGCCGGTTCCGGCCGAGCCCAACAGAACCGGCAGCCGCCGCTCAACCAGATCCGCGACCGGGACTCGTGCATTCACACTAGCTGCCGTGAGACTGGGGGTTCAGGGGCTCTGCCTCCGAGGGGCTGTGGGGGGAGAGGAGACGGTCTTAACACACAGCGTCCGGCCCGAGGAACATCTGACTTCCCCATAGCTGTTTCTGGGAAAGGCATCTGCAGAACGGAAGCGCTTTTACGACCTCGAAAGGTTTATTTTATTTCTCCTTTTGGGCGGTGGTGGACATGTGACAACGGACAGAAATCTGCACGTCCACGTGAAGCAGGCGGGGGCGAGGGGAGCGCAGATGAAAGCGCAGAACGGCGCCACCGCGTTTTAGGTTCGCCCATCAATCGGCGGCTGTCACGTAAGGAACTCTGCGGCCCAGCTCCCCTCGACACTGATGTCGTTAATCTCCTCCAGCTGTTTTTCCGATAAAACCGCAGGCAGATGTGGCTGCTCGGGGCGGAACGCTGCTGCACACTGACACCTGGTGGACACGCTGGGTACTGCCGGGAGCTCGGATCGGCGCTGTGCGCAAGTGCGAGACCCAGACAGACAGGCCCTAGGCATTTATACCATTGCACAACTTTAAAAGGCCATGGTAAAAAAAAAACTGCATTTATTTCACTGTCGTGTTGGTGTTGTCTACACAGTCCTGGAGGGGAGATGAGGGAAAAATGCAGCTCTACGGAGCCCAGCGTGTGTTCGAAACCCATCACAGCCACAGCTGGTGTCGGAGAGCTTGGTTGCTGAGTGCGACAACACACGGGGGGCCTGGGGATTCTGGGAGCAGGCGCGGCCGGGCGCAGCCTCCTAGGGACCAGTCCACATGGGGGAAAGTGACTGCACACAGAGGACTCCGTCTGCAGGCCAGCAGTCCTGCCCAGGGAGAACCGTGCGCCCAGGACAATCTGACAGGGGCGCATGTCCGCCCACAGACGCAAGCGCCCGAGGGCAGAGACGGTGGGCACACGGCGCTGACGCGGTGCAGGGGGAGAAGCTGCATTGCTCCCCAGTGCTGCTGTCTGAAGAGGCCCTGGGTGTCCCAGCGTGTGCCTGCAGATGCCCTGGGGCTCAAGAGCAGCAGCACCGCAGGAGCTGGGAGAACCTGTCCACCAGGTCCAGTTCAGCCAGCAGTTCTGCACTTTACTAGGCACATGGAAGACCTGCAGGCACACCAGCCCCCCACATGTTTGGTTAATCATTTTTTATTGAAATACAGAATAAACAAATCCACATCCCAGGTACAAAGACCGTCTCCCCCAGCACACAGACTCTCGGGTGATTAGACCAGGACAACAGTTACACTGAGTTGCGTACGTTGTTTTTAAAGGTGTAATTTAAATGAAGGTTTTAACGAAACGCAAAAGCGACGATCACTGCGCAATGCCAATAACTCACAGTTGTAGCTCACAATCAGATTATTAATAAGATCATGAATTTTATTAACAGATTATGAATTACAGTCGAGGTTTTATGTATGGAGTTCAACTCTTTTTAGAGTTTAGGTTAAGAGAAGACAGCACGGCAGTGCTTTTGAAAGAGAGTTTTTTTTACGGTACTGGCTAGAATTTCAAGCAAGTGGACAGTACAGCACAGAAAAAGTAATCTGTTCAAAGCCGAATGGCAAAACCAACAATAAATGCACAAGTGACACGCAGGCATGGAACACTACATTTTCAGCCCACATACAGGTGCCCCAGCCCAGCACACAAGAACCAGGCTATAAAGCCTTAATAGGGATTCCCTCTTTCACTCAAACACAAACCCAATTTAAATTCCTTTCCTCAAGAAAAAAAGATCTTTTCTACAGTTTTTGTAGATGGACAAACTTTTGTTCACACTCTCATTGGACTATGTGGATTGTTTTATATAAATACACTTGACTAATTAATTTACTGTATCGCTTTCACCATTTAACACTACATGCCTATGGTACAGCATACACATCAACATCATGCATTTTGTAGCAACAGTAACACATATGCCAAATTGTGCCACCAGGGGGCGAACCACACAATTCCCTGCTTTTGTTCATGCAACACAGAAAGAACTTTTCAGTTTAGTGCCTTGAACTCCCAGTAAATACAGCTTGCAGAAGCTTTACCATAGGCAGCAACAACAGTGCAGGTTTAGTCAAAGCTTCAGAAGCCGCCGGAAGAAAGCAGTACTGCTTGTTACAAAACAATTAATCGCAAACTGGGGGATAGGGAAAAGCAAACCACTGACATTCGGTCAAGAGTTTAGCAACGATAACTTTGCCACAGGTATAACAATAAAGACGGCAAGCTTACCCTGAACCCGAGCCCAGCAGGTGTCACAGGTCGGCTGTAAAATATCCCATTGTTAAACCTGTTTTGAACATTTTTATTTTGACCACTTGAGTAATTTAGAGATCGCTGGAAGCCAAAGCATCCTACTGCTCTCAAGGGTCATAAGACGGCCATTCCTGACTCACCGGAGGTCCAAGCGCAAACTGATGTCTCAAGGGTTGACCTGAAATAGCCGCTGGACTGCGTCTCTCCAAAATCAGGGCCGATAATACTGGTTCCAGGGCTCTGGGAGACAAATGCTGCTCCTGGGCAAGCCAACTGATCGGCCTGACAGCTCTGCAAGTTCACACACAGGGAGCGGTTCAGCTTGGTGCTGGGGGCCACTCCGATTTAAATGTCTTCATATGTTACAGTCTGGGAGTTAGAAGGAACTAAAGGCAAGGCCTAACTTTACTGTCACACTATATGTCAAATACATCCTTTCAAAAAACTCCTCATTTTACTTTAACATCATGCTGTACTTAAATGCAGAATTTAACATCACTAAGAGGAAAAAATGTAGAAAGATGAAAAACATTGCGCATATCCATTGACTATACCTAACTATCATTTCACCATCACCAACATCACTGTTGCCTGTTCTCAGAGAGCACAGTTAATGAAGTACATGATACTCCATGCTGTCACACAAAACAGCAGTCCCTAATTAAATCTTTCTTAACGATATACACAGTCAAACAATGCTAACTGCTTCTCCAATACATTAAATGTTTAGAAAGGTAAATATTTATATAAAGTTTAGCATATGTTTATACATATGAAAAAGAAGCTGCAGCCGGCAAACTTCAGATTTTAACGTTGTTAAAAAAAATCAATAAAAATTTAGAGATTCCATTTACCAGTGTGAGTTGGCACAATTCTTGGATTTCAGCAAGGCGGTATCTGCTGTGTGTCAGAAGATCCTCGTGCTGAATTCCACACTACTTCTGCAATTGCAGCATCTTCTCTTAGGAAGCGGATGTCTGCATGGGGTTTTTTATGGGAAAATTGGAACTGTTTTGTTTCTACCGTACTAATCAGACAACCAGTACTCAGAAAAAACACACCAGCACGTGGACGTCAGCGTGTCAATAACTCTGAACCAGAGAAGCTGTTGAAAGAGGAGTGACCGACAAAAAGTTCCTTTAACCACACATTGTCGCTCCTGCTCAGAGAATCGGACAGTATGTGTGACACAAAGGGCAAACAGGGCCACTCTCCGGTCGCATCTCGGGGCCAGAGCCACCAGAGCAGAGCAGAAACACTACAGCCCACTGGCTGGGTTAACAAAGCCTTCCACTGCAGAACTCAGCTGACACCTGGCAGCCTAGATAAGCAAGTCCTATAACACTCAACTCTTCATTACCAGCTATTGCAATGTTCTTCAGATTTTATTATCTAGGAATCATGGCATGGCAGCTAGAAAAAGCTTTAAAAGGTTTAAAAGTCTTTTTTCTACTTGTCTGGAAACAGGGCGTGGGACCTGAGAATTGAAGAGGTTTCGTACAGTCAGCTGAGATGCTGTGCTTATTAGAAAAAGTTTCCATAGGACCTCAGCAGCCCTGACATGTTTCTTAACCCATCTTGACAAAACTTAACAGTAAATATCATCTTAGAAAATATTCTAATATAATACAACTATTCAGATATAACAATAATAAGATAATTACCTTGAATTATACAAAAAGCTATAGATAATTGTAATCTATTTAAATATATAATGTTTTAAAGATATAATATTGTATTAAAAGATACATATGCTGGTGTTTTACCCAAGACAAAACCAGTATATAAAAAAAAAGGCATACAAGTTAAAACATCAGTTTCCCAATTGGTCTGCTAAATAAACCAATTGTGTACTATATTGTTAAGAAAATGGAAACTTCTCATGCACAGAGAAGTCTCACTGCAAGTCAAGGCTGGTTAAGAAACAGGCAGGGACTGGCTGGTCACTTCCTACACTCCCTCGGCATGGACTCCACCGCTGGCAGGAAAGGAAGTGCCGATGGCTCAAGTGGCAGGCCTGAAAGCAAAGGCTCTCGAGCTCGGGGCTTTTAACACCCCCTCAGCCCATACCTTCAGAACGCCCCAAACAAATAACAGGTTTAATAGGCACAGCATTCTGCCGGCCCCCCGAAGCACAAAGGAGGAGTTGTGTGTTTTCTGCTGGATCCCCAGAAAGGATGTATTGCAGGAGAATACAGCTCTCACCCTCGTTGTCGTCGTTTTCTAACCACTTACTGCCGGTGAGGGGATGGGGTGGCAACAGGCTGCGCAGGGCAGACCAGACCCTCCTGTCCCTAGCAACAGTCTCCAGCTCCTCCTGGGAGATTCCCAAGCATTCCCGGGCCAGCTGAGAGATATAAATCCCTTCCAGCGTGTCCTGGGTTTGCCCTACTGGGCTGTGCCTGGTACACCTCCAGTGGGAGGTGCCTGGGGGGCATCCTCATCTCAGCCGGCCCCCATGATCCTCCCGGACCCCCAGGTTCCTCACCATGGCACGGAGAGCGAGCCCGGCAGCCCCGCGGAGAAACCTCACTTCTGCCACTCTAGGCAGCAATCTCCTTCCTTCAGTCACGACCCGGAGCTCGCAAACACAGGTGAGGATGGGGACGCAGATCGAGCGGGAAACCGAGGGCTTCATCAGAGAACTCCAGCCCTTTACCTGCATCTTGTTTAAAGGGTTCATTAGCATGGGGCACCGCATGAACACCGATGGATTTTAAAAACAAACACCTCCCTTGTGGGGCCTGCCTGGGCGCTTCGGAAGCGGCATAACTTTTCTCTTTGTGGCCTTCTTCCTGCACCTCAACATTTCAAAGCATTTTAAATGGCCGCTTTGTGCCTTTTCCCTCAATCCAACTATCAAAGGATGCCTTCAAATCAAACTTAACTTCACCTCCTATCAATATAAAAACGTGCTACAAAACAACCCTGCATCACAATATACCCCTCTAATGCAAACCTGCATGTATCCCTGTCCACACATAAAAGAGAAATTGTAAATCATGCAATCCTCTCCTAAAACCTGAAATTCAGCCCGTCCCCTCCGAACAGCAGCGACAGGCAGCAGAGAGGGTCTCCCGAGAGGAATAAAAGAGCATGCCGTCTTTTGCAGTCTTCACCCTCTCAGTGACCTGTCCACCTGCGTTTGAGAAATGACCTTGATTGGGTGCTAACTTGAGTGTATCTTCCACAGATTCAGCATGCAAACTAACATCACAAGGAAAACATAAAAACAAATTGCACGCAAAATTACAGATAACTCATCTGCAAAATGAAATATTCTGCCTCGATCTGCTGGATTTTAGGCAATGTCCACCACTACACAGAATTACAGAAAAACATCTAGGGCTCGGTATTTAAAGAGTGGCACACACCATGAGCTTCTGACTGCTCCTGGCTAGAGGTTCCTGTACCACTTTCAAATACTACGCCCATACAGTTATACATACTGCATTAGAATATGAATACAACTCTCATACTTAAGGAGAAAACAAGTCTTCCCTGCCCTGTGCGTATTGTACATGCCCCCAGCGCCAGCAGACAGACCCACCACCACTCCCATACAACAACGTGCCTTACGGCGCCAGAACATACCGCCTCCGAGTTTCTTTTTAGGAGCTGATTGAAGTTATGGTCCCTCTAAGCTACACGGACCCACTTAAAACTTAAAACAAATTTGTCAATTATGCAAAAAAAAATGGGTTTGCATTCGGCCATTTCACATTCCCACATGCTCAGAGCAGTGACCCTTAAAGGCCCACTTGTCCCTGTCGACAACCTGACTTTGTGTCTCCTATTGTGTGGTCATCACTGTTGTCATCTGCTAAACCTTTCAACCACAGACCTCCTGTAAAGTCCTTAACAGCTACAGGTGAGTGGATTCCAGTCTTCACTGCAAAGTCTTCACCTCCTCAGTGATAACTGTGTAACAGGACGTACCTCCGTACAGTGTAGTGTACATCAAGCATCACTTAGTGCTAACTGCTAAGAACGCTGCCCAACAAGTGCGTTGGCAAAGACTTTGCAGCTGAAGAGAATCGCACAAATCCAGCACGTCGCAGACCTGCCTGCTATTTTTGCAGCCTTCCCACTGCGTGACTATGCCTTTGTATTGCCCTGACATGGCTCCTGTCGTGCTTAGACATACCCCTCTGCTTTACAATTCATACAAGTTGTCCTGAGGACAGCTTGTCCCTTTCATCCGCGTTTTGCTCACTGCCTAATACAACCCTTAACAGACATAAATGACCAAGTGAACTGGTTGTTTTCAGCTTCCTTTAACCATTTGAAAGATCTCGGACAACATCCGCATTAAAGGAACTCCAGTCTAAAAGCTAACTGGTTTCGAAGTTCTAATTAAAGAAGTTACAAGATCGAACAGGCGCCAGAGAGCTCAGCTGCTACAAAGCCCGGACAGCAGCAGCACAGGGCGTCCCCAGTGCCAGGACAGGAAGGCCCTGCCGAAGCTGACCTCCCCCCCCTCAATCGACAGAGGGCCGCCACTACGCAAAGCCGCCGCAGGGCTTTCTGGACTAGAGCCCGGTCAGGTCCACGATGGCCTTGATGAAGATGGTGTCGTCCCGGATGTAGGAGTTCTTGGAGTCCAGCTTGGACAGCGGGCAGAAGAGCGGGCAGCCGCTGGCGATGTTCATCTCGCTGACGGGCCGCTGGAAGGAGGAGGAGGTGACGTCGGGCCGGAAGGCGTCGATGATGTGCTCCCGGTTGTTCTGGTCCAGCAGCATCAGGGTCACCTGGAGGGAGAGCGAGGTGGTTTACGGGACAGACGGGGTCTCCCGAAGAGAAGAGCCTACAACACAGGCACCAATATAGGCATCGCCACCCCGCATGCTTCTGGCGACAAACCTTCAGCTGCAGCAGCTGTTGTACTAATAGACCAACCGCTGAAAAAAACAGACAGACATTAACAAGCCTGTCTGTCGCCTTCTCTTGACACAGCGAACCCTGTCTCAGAGTCTCCTGGTACCTGATCAACACATCGATCTCCCGATGTGGGAACTTTGATGTCCAAAAGTAGAACACAGAAGCATTACAGTGACCCGCTTCCCCCCCAAGCCAGAAACTCATCTGAAAGCCCTTACAAGGTAACCGTAGGGTAGTTCCTTTCTGACACAAGCCAGTCGATGAGGCAGAGCGAATCGCCCGACAGACGCAAAAGACGAAACCCCCCCCCCCCCGAGAATCAGCCTTCAAAGATCCCGACGGTGGAAAACCAGCGGAGCATTTCTCCCGCCGCTGCCGGTCGGCACCGGCCCACCCCGGCGCTCACGGGCACACGACTGACCCGGCTCACCTTCTGGTTGAAGGGCCACTTGAGCAGGGCGTCGTTCTGCCCGCGCATCACCACGAAGAACAGGGACAGGTGTGTGCCGCGCCCCGTGCCGTCGCCGTTCAGGTAGATGCGCAGGCACATCTTGTAGCCGTACTTGCTGGTGTAAAAGGCTGTAAGAGGCAAAAAAAAAAATAAAAAATAAAAGGGTTCACTGGAAAAACATCTCCAGTCCCAGAACTCCCCCTGCATCATTCCAAAGTGCATATCTCTAAATTTCTTCCTGCAACATGATTTCATTCTGCCACAGTAACGCGGTGATTTAATGGAAGACAATGTCTAAGCTGCACAGATCGATACAGCTGTATTAGTCGCTTTGCATGTATATGCAAGTGCTTGGCCAGCTGCGAGCCACCACCATGGACTTCAAAACAGACACGGGCTTCAGATGGACACCCTCTCGGGATTCAGCACAATCCCGTCGCAACTGCACTAATCAAAAAGCTTCCACGGCAACAACATCAGGAGCAGGGGGACCAGCTGCTGCCACGCTTTCCGTTCGCGGTCTAGAGAGGAGGAGCAGGAAGGGCAACCTGGAGAGAACATGGCGGGGGCGCGTCCGGCGATGGCGTCCTGCCTCTTCTTCGTGAAGTCCGAGATCCTCCAGACGAAGACGCCGTCGTAGGTGGCGGCCAGGAGCTCCCGCAGCTTCCCCTCCATCTCCGCGATGGTCAGGTCCTTCAGCCCCGCCGTCCTCTCCAGCTGGCGCACCTGGGAGGCGGGGGTGAGAGGGGCGGTGAGTTTCTCTGCGCTTACTCGTGTACGCAAAAATAAAAAACAACTCTGTTGAACTGAACTTGTCTGAGCTGTTTGCCCTGAAGCCTTCCACGTTCACCTAGCCAGTCAATCCCACCTGGGGAAAAGCACGTCTCTTTCCCTTTTTCCCCAAGAGGAGGTCTACCTGAGATAACGAGGATGCAGAGAACTAACAAATACTTATGCAAGATCAGTACGAAGGTCGAGCATGCATTAGGATTCATTGCTTATGACTCACATGAGTTGTGTTAAAGCACGCATACGCGAGCAGGCTATTATACTTCCGCAGGGAAGCTCCCAGGGCCGTCAGGTGTACCAGGCTGCTCCCAGCGTACACCGCTAAGAGGAGTTTCTCCCCCACCAGCCCTTCATCTCTACCAGGAAACACTGGCTGTCAGCCTGCCCCGAGGCAGACTGTGTCTGTGCAGACTACGCGTCTGTGCAACTGCCAGGAGAGCACGGGCGGCCAGACCTTGTTGCCGAGCGTCTCGATCTTCTCCTGGTCCAGCCGGTGCTGCCGGTTGTAAGCCTCCAGGGTCGTGGACGAGCGCTCCACCTCGCGGTTCAGCACGCACACGATGTTCTCGAACGTGCCCACCTTCAGCTCCAGCTCCTGGCACCGGCGGCTCAGCTCGGCCACCTTGGCCTTCTCGCTGTGCAGCTGCAGCTCCAGGGCGGCGGTGGCGGAGCTGGGCAGCGGGGTGAAGGAGGTGGCCAGGGCCACGGGGGGGGCGGCGGCGGCGGCGGCTCCCTGCACGGGAGGCGCCGCGCTCAGGTGGCCCATCTTGGCCTCCAGCTCGCGCACGGACTGGTGCAGCTCGTGGATCTTCAGGCTGGCGTGCTCCAGGCTCTGGGGCTGAATGCCCTCCAAGTTCACCTTGATGCCCATGATGTAGTGCAGCAGCAGGTTCAGGTGCTCGTAAGAGCACGCGCGCTCGTGGTCAAGCACCTTCTCTTTCTCCACCTTGAAAAGAATGAGACGATGTTTGTGCGTATACGCATAGCACATGGCTGCAGATGCATACTGTACTCCACCTGACTCTACTGCTTACCCTTCCATGCTCACTTAACAGTTACTCATCCTAGCAAATAGCAGGTAACATGTCTAGCAAATTGAGGATCCAGGGAACCTATAAATACTTATATGTCTTTTACTACATATTATGAATAGGAGCCTGACTCCAGATGTATCTACTGTATATGGCAGAAATAATTTAACTAGAAGCATATTAAGATAATACAGTGCTTTACGTCTCATGCATGTGTTTGGTGAACACTGCACTCATTTTCTCCTGCTTTTAATAACTGTGGTGACTGCAAAACAAGTTATTTTCATATATAACAATATTCTGAGAAATTACAAGTACAATCTACAACTTAGATACTGTGAATGACACACATTTCATCTACGGTAACCGCCAAGAAGGCTCTTTATAATTTAACTACTTTAACAGAAGGTAAACGACAAAAAAGTATTTGACAAGATGGGTTAAAAATGAAACAAATGTAGCAACAGTTTCAAATCCTGACTGGAAAAGATCTAAAAACTGGACATTGTTAAAGAAGGTCTTTTACACACTTTTAAAAAGTAAATACGCGAGGCACAAATGTGGTACAAACATCTCTGCATTGGCAGTGTGACGAAAAGTTACCTCGATTATGAAAGCAATACTGGTATGAAAACTTACGATGAGTTCACATTTCAGAAATTAAAAGAAAACATGAGTAATGTAACATGCAATACAATAATGTTCTACTGTGGTAAGATAAAATAAAAGAAAAGCTACTTACTGACGTATTACACCCAACAACATGAAATCTGCAAGGAGCTCTAAATTTACTACAGAACTTAATATGGTCCACATACTGCAATGAAAGAAACAGAAACATTGTAACAGGCAAAAGACTGTAACACATGACCCATGAACTTCCTGTGTTAGAAATCAGCAGTGTGCCCAAACACCCCTTGCTGGAGAGTAAAAATGACCATTTTTAATTGGCAATTTATCTGTGATGTATAAGATGACAGCTAAACCCATTTCCATGGTCTGCAAGAGGCTTATTTTTTTTTGTCTTGCACAGGACTATGTTTGGCTCATGGAATACAACTGCTTCATGGTGTCCAGAACCTGCTACGCTTTACTTTACAAGTCCTTTATTAAACTGGGTGATGCATCTGCAAACCGATTCTCATTTGCAATGATGACCAGGAGAGAAACCCTTCTATACAGCAGGAACAACAGGAGTTCCATTTGGGTACCTTGCTCAAGGTACCAACAGCAGCCTCTCTCCTGGGATTTGAACCCATGACCCTAGTCTAGTTTGGAGCCCAGCCTTCTAACCACTACTCCACACTGCTGCCCCGTTTAAGACAAAAAGATATGAGAGATCTTGAACTTCTTCTGTGCCTTTGCCGAGTAACACAGCGACACAGAGGTGACGTTATCCAGAGGCTAGAGTCCTGACATCCAGCCGTAGTCACATTTGGCTGGATTCTCCCAGCAGGCGGCTGTCCAAACAGCAGGAGTTGCTGTTTGCTGGGATCCTAAAGCGCCCCAGCTGACTCATCCTGTTCATACAGCGACGGTGCCTAAAGCAGGGCGCCGCTGGGAGTCACAGCCAAGGGGCTCTGGTGACACGACCCTGCCTCCGACTCCTGACGATCAAGAGCTCGACGTGCCCAGGAAACCGATTCCTTCCACGATTTTCTGAACCACACGGCAGAGCCGCTAACATTAAAAGGGTCGCGAGAGAACCGCCATCGTGGCATAAAAAAACTTGTGCACTGTGTTCTGGTTCAGGTGCTCCCCAAGTAACTGTAATACTTGTAATACTACAAGCAGGAAAACACAAGAGTGTCCCTAATACTGCCCCACTGAACCGTCAAATAATATCCAGTCTCACAGCAGCTGGGTGAAGGGCTCCTGCGTATTTCTAGCCAGGTGCATTCAGTAACAAACATGAAAAACAAAAATATGAAATACTTTTCTCCCATTTCCCTCTAAAGCGATTACTGCTTTACTGTCTCATTCTAATGCAGCAACACCCCCTTCTTCCACAAATAAAACATTGGCCCTTTTGTTTGTAGTGGCAATGTCCACAGCATACCCCTGCTATTAAAATGATTAAGAATCCACAAAAGACAATGAAATATTAATTAATTGCCTTTATATAGTGCTTGTCCTCCCAAATTGCTTTACACAACTGGGGACCCACTTAATTACCCACTGAAGCACAGTCTGAAGCACTCAGACTTTCTGCAACAGGAGCCCTATCTGGGTGACATACAGCAGTCCCCCTGCTCAGCAGATCAGGTGAGGAGCAAGAATTTACCTCTCCACTTTTAATTAAGCAGAATTTAGGTCTCATGGGTTTGTTAATGACTATGTACTGTAGTTGAGACCTAAGATTAATCTCTCATCCAAAGGATGACAGCTCCCACACCACAGTGTCAAAATACTGGAGCATCCGATTGAAAATTCTGAGCTAGAGGGAAGAATGGAACCAAAAGTACTTAAACAAGCTACCCTGCCATATGGTTGAAGCCGATGTTCTGGCCTCTTTCAGGAAAAGCTGGTTGAGATCCTCGGACCACTTGGTTACAAACCACCAAACGTGTTAGATGGGCAAAATGTAATTGGTCTTATAATCCATCACTAAGAACAGCAACCACGTTTCCCTTAGATTTCTCACAGTACTGACCAGGCCCAGCCACATGTAGTGTCCGAGATCTGACATCATCAAACCAAAGAGAGTTAACGCTGTCATATGTTTTGTATATTAAGTTGTCATAGTTCCTTATCTTGATGACAAGTGATCTCCGGAGTGGCAGTCTTTTCATTTGGCATTTGGGTTTTTGCATTAATAAAATCAGAAAGACGGCACTTTCTAACTGCTTTATAGCTACTTTATCGACACTTACTTTTTCTCTTGGAATTTTCTTCTTGGCACAGCCTTCACATATCATAGGGTATTTAGGACAAATCTCATCGTGTGCCTGGAAAAGAGAAGGCACGTTCGTTTTCCAACCTGAAAAACAGTGTTGCGTCGCAGCCACTAGGCGAAATCCTATGACAGAGAAATAAGTCAACTGCACTACAAATATTTATTTTTCCAACGGGCGACTTTAACATGGGGAGTATTTCTCTTTTACTGTCTGTGGGAACACCACCACCACCACCAACCACAACAACAATAAAGCACCGCACCAGTCCTTCATTATTCACCTTAATATTTTTAAAATGAAACGGCTCTTTGCAGTACTTGCAGTTCAAGGTCCTTTCCGGACATTCCCGCTCATTATGTCTCTCCTGTTCATTAAATCTTATGGCCTCTCCGCAGGACGGGCAGGCGATGATCATGAACTCGCACTTCCCCTCATGAAGGGCCTACGGAAGCGAGGAACACGGAAGGGAAGAAATGGAAAAACACCTTTAGAACAATGTGTGTATAAGGAGTTCAAAACTGCCCTTTCTTCAGCCTTTGTAACCACACAGTAGCAGTGGGTACAAGCTTTGACATCTAAAATGCACTCTAAGATGGACTCAAAAAGAGCTAAAAACCAACAACAAATCGAAAGGTTACTTTCCGGTTTCCCCTCACGTTGCAGCAAAGCCAGTCTATACAGTGTTATCCTAATAATACAGTCGAACTTTGAGAAGCTGACTCACTCTAAAACACTGCCCATCTCAATGCCTTCTACAGCTCTGGCCTACAGCGAGTCTGGCGAGCAATTCGTAATACTGAAGGAAACATAACATGACCATCTTTGGTTAGAAACAGCGGTACTCAGTATACAGTGCATGACTAATGAAGTAAACAGGATGACGTGCACACGTGATGAACGATGCCAAGAGGACGGGTGTCTTGGGATTCAGTTTCTTCAGCTGGAGTGCAAACGGGAGATGCAGGCAGTGGAGTGAGAGAAGAAAGCTTACCTCATATTCTTTAATACTGCCCTTCCAGGAGCATCCCTCATTGAGACAGACCGCAGGCAGGGCCTCCACTTCTCTGCGAGCTGCGTTGTCTGGGAAAGCCTTGGGTAGAGACCACAATAACTAGAATTAATTTACACATACTCACAAATCTTATCGAGCTCTCAGATGCCAAGCTTAACATGCTCTCGTGGCCAAACATGGCACCTGGCAGATTTCACTTCCATCATCCGGAACAATAAATCAGACTCTTTATTAATAATTTATGCTACACTACATTTCTGAATGACTCGGGAGCGCAGCCAGCTACAGTATAGCAGAGCAGTTATTTAGCACAACACTGGAGAAACATCAGGCTGACTTTTCAAGCAACCTGCCAGTGAGGTGGACCAACAATTCCCTGGATTTCAAAATAAGTGTAGCCTATATGCTATCCAAGATGGGAACAGCTGGAAAGGTTCTCTCTGTGGTTAAAGGAAATGGGCACTATTATAGCAACTGTTGAGTTAACATTCCCAAATATTACTTACACAGCCCAGTGTCAGAATAGATGTTGGGTCTTCAAATATATCTTCTTTTATACACGCACTGCATTTCTGAGGCCCGGAGCTGAAAGGCGACACAAAAAATGTAAAAATATTTTAAAAACTAAAAAAAAAAGGTAAACATTTGTCATTAATAACAACAAACTTCACAGGAAACATGGAACAAATGGTTTCAACATACAGGACCAAGTGTTCACCACTTGAATTTGTAAAGGTTTTTGGGATGTGCTATTACCCATACTTATAAAAATAAAATCACATTCCTTACGGGTGTACTGTCGAGATATTTGCTCTTTGTAACAGGAGGTAATTAAATAGAGAATACATCAATCTTCTTGATGGTTTTAATATGTTATGAATCCTGGCACTTGAGGATGAGATGAGAGTGAGGGCAGGAGAGAGATGGAGCTGGGTGGCTGTACACAATTATTTAACATGGATCTTGACACAAACAAAACAGATTCATTCTGTAAGCCCACCATGGCACTCACCTCACTGTTCTGTTAAAGCAATAGGAGCAGAATCGATGTCCACACTGGGCTTGAAAAGGTCTTCTGAGGATGTTTTGACAACAGTTACACAGGTGTTTGTCCTCAAGCTTGTTCGCCAAAATCTTCTTTGGGAATCCCGGCTTGTTGCCCTCCAATGACGAAGGAGGGGACGGATCCTGTGTGGCCATTATTATCCCAACACAAGGGCGATCTGTGGTGTGAGCAGCGGACAAGAGTCACTGACAACACAGAACACAAGCCAGCGTCCGTCTGACCACTGAGAAAGCTGCTTGCTAGTGTGCAATTCTTATCTCAGAGCTTTGGGAAAGAGAAAAAGAAACTGAAACTTGAAACATACTTCACAGACAATTCTTTAGTATGAGGCTGGGAAAATGCTGGGTTAAGTTGCGTTCACTAAGTGAAACACATATGATCACTGGATAGGGGCATAAGACAGGAGATGGCACATGCTTCGTGTTTACTAATTTAGTAACGAAGTTACTCTGAAATATTTTCCAGGCATTTCTTGAAGGACCCAGACATAGGGCCTCTATCACCTCCCTGAAAAGCCTGTTCAAGATACTCACAAACCTTCAATATAAGTTTCTTTTTTTCTCACTCCCCTTTGAATTCCCTTTCACTTTCCAATTACTAGCTGAAGGTCACTGTTTCACTACTGAGCATGAAATAGACGGCATCTATACCTGCACTACGATTTTGCTACCGTGGATAACTACTTTCAAAGCAGAATTATTTTGAACACCTGTCAATATATGTTTTTAAGGCATCCCTTTTAACAACCTATTCCGCTAGGAACGTCTTAGCTTATTTTTCTATATTATAACATATTATTGTATTATGAGACACATTATTAACATATTGATACATTAAGTGAGAAATAGATCCATAAAATTATAAATAAAAATCCGATTTTCCTGCAATATGTATTGTTACCGTGCTATGCACAGTCAAAAGTAAGAGAATGTATCAACACGACCGTCACAGTATCCCAATCTCCAGAACAGTCTTTGTCGTAAAAGGGCACACCCAAAAGGAACATAAGATACAGGGTACTTATTTAAACAAAAATGAGATTTATACTGGACGGCAGCTGCAGCTTCACGCCGAGGCCTCAGGTGAGCGTACTGAGGCCTACACAGCACCGAGCTCGGAGTTTTTTGTTTTCGGCTCCGATGAGGTGGGGAGGTGGGGTGGGGCGGGGCGGGGCGCGGGGACGGCCTGTGGACTCGCAGCAGCGCCCAGCGCACCGACACTCGCAGAAAGCAAGGTCTCTCTAAAAAGAAACCCACCCCAGAAAAAAAAAGCATTCTCCGACTAATAAACAAGGATTGTTTTTTTTAAATAAGAACATACGTCACGTCTCGCAACTCTCAGCCACACGCATCCTCTACAGCCGCCGGGAATTTCCCCGGCGGTACCTGCAGCGCCCAGCGTGGGTCACCACCAGCCTCCTAGCGCTGTCTTTCAGGGGGAACCTGTCAGACAGTGCCTAGACACCGGCTCTGAAGTGCACTGGTCCTCCGGGGCCTCCACTGGCTTGTATTATTTCCGAAATAGGAATAGAGCGACAAGCCCGCCCCTTCATTATAACGCGGAGAAGGGGGGGGGTGGGGGACAAGATGAGCGTTATTATCCGCACTCGGCGTGGAAACGCGGAGTCACAAAAGCCCTACTTACCAGAAGTGAGCCCAGCATCGATGCTGACCCTGGGGGCGGTTATTCTCTCTTACGGTTTCGGTTTTCTTTCCGCAGTTACAACGCATGACATTTTCATGCCACTTTCAGCAATTGTGTCGAGACAGGCTTCCCCCGCCTTGCCAACGGCTGCCTTCTTTATCTTTCAAACCAAATTTGTCAAACGAGCACGGCATACGTTGGGTGAATGGGGCATAGAAAGACGAAAACGCATTTTACGGATACAAGCGAAAGAAATATCGGCGTCTAAAACAACATTCAACACCAGAATGAACTTAAGAGAAAAACAAAGTTAGCCACGGCTAACACCCAAGCAAAGTCTGTGCTCACTGTGCAAAACAAACACTGCCGAGTGAGCAGTGGGGTCTTCAAAATTGCGAGGAAATTTTAAAATTGTAGTCCTGTCCTGGATTCTTTACAATGCTGGAGCCTCTACGCCAGGTGCAGTGTCTCTTTCAGCCTTTGCGCTTAAGCAATGTATTCCCGGCGTGTGCGTGGAATCATTTTTGCTTCGTTTTATCACAAATGTCGCTGAATAACACACCGCTGCAACGAGAAAGCACGCTTTCCGTGCACGACGAGGCGGTGCGGTTGAGCAACCTGAACGGCGTGAGAAATTGCAGTCGCATGTCCTCCCCCTCCCCGCCGCCAGAGGCGCTGTTTGAAGGGCGCCCACCCCGAATGGGCCGCTCCGGAGCGTCTTCCTGGTTTCGGTGGCGTTGCCCAGGGGAGAGAGCGAGAAACATGGCTGCCGCAGAAGATTGATGCTCTGGGTCGCCGACGACAAGATGGAGCGAAAAGGGATCTCCCGATAGAGCCTAAATGCCCCCCCCCGTTCAGTTCAGATAATGTATTAGCCGGCCGCTAAAACATTTCATAGAAAGTGGGCGCTTACGACGACTCGTCCTGTTTTGTCGAAGGGAATTCAATTAGCGAGCGACCCTAGAGGGGAAAAAAAAAACACGG